ATGTACATGGAATACGATGATTTTGAAAAAGTAATGATTGGCGCTGAAGAAGTATTCCGCACCTGGGAAGAGGTGATGAAAGAGTTTACGAATGTAGCGCGAGATGTTACGCGTAAGCGATCCGAAAAATTTATCCCGATAAAAATCAACGCCGCGCACTCGAAATTGCAAGAACGTGTTACTTTTGTAAGAGGATTCAGAAAGCAGCACGAGCAACTTCATCAGACTATTGTTAAAGTCATGGCTCAGCCCACAGGCACGCAAAAAATTATTGTTGAAGATGATAAGAGCGTTATTCAGCAAGAAAATGAGAGTGTCAATATGAGTGATATCAACTCGATGGAAGAGGTTAAACTTGCTTATGAAAGTGTAAAGGATATTGACGTATTGGATGTTTCTATTGAGGGAACTGATCTTTGGACGCAAGCGGAAAACTCATACAATGAAAGAGTTTCAAGAGTTGAAAATCAAATTATTGCCAGATTGCGTGATCGTCTTGGTACCTGTAAAAATGCTAATGAAATGTTCCGCGTGTTTTCAAAGTTTAATGCTTTGTTTGTTCGTCCAAAGGTATATATATTATTTGATTATAGAGAAATTGTGCTGTTTGAAAATTCTTATTATTGATTATCTTACCACGTACATCATTGTCATTTTAGATTCGAGGTGCCATCCAAGAATACCAAACACAACTTATAGAATCCGTCAAAGATGATATAAAAAAACTTCACGACAAATTTAAAATGCAATATCGTCAATCCCAAGCTTTTCATATGGCACAACTCCGCGATTTACCCGCGATTTCAGGTGCAATGATCTGGGCTCGACAAATTGAACGGCAATTGCAAACTTATATGAAACGTGTCGAAGATGTACTTGGAAAAGGTTGGGAAATGTATGCCGAAGGCCAGAAATTGCAAAATGAAAGTCTTAGTTTTCGTAAGAAGCTAGACACTCGACCGGTAAGGAAAAAATAATTCATTTGAAAAATCATATATTTATGATGATATATTTTCATGTATGTTATTTTTATTAGATTTACGAAGCTTGGCTTCAAGATATCACTCGACGCGAACTAACAGTTTCTGGCAGACTTTTCGAAATATCAAGAAGCCGTGCACAAGGCAACACACTTCAACTAGGCGTAAATTTCGACCCACAAATCATTACATTATTCAAAGAAGTTCGTAATTTATTATGGCTTAATTATCAAGTACCACATACAGTTAGCAATGTCGCAAAAGACGCCAAGAGAGTGTATCCTTTTGCCGTTAGTTTAATGGAAACCGTACGGACTTATGCTCAGACAGTACACAAAGTTCAAAAACACCCAGATATTATCATGTTGGTTGCCAGTTATCGTAATGAAGTTCAAGCTATGATTGCCAAGGGGATCGGCTTGAAATGGGATTACTTTGTGAACACCTATGATCCACATTATAGACCTCTTGCGCATCTCACTTCTGGTACCTTGGATGGTCGTGAAAATCGCCATATTGCTTTTGTTAGAGAATTCGCCGACCAAGTTTCTATATTCCAAGATAAAGTCGATGCACTCATTAATAGTTACGATGATATCTCCCGAGCTATCGAAGATCTGAAAACTTGTCCATATAAAATTAAAAAGCTCAAAGAAAATTTGGATAAAATACAAAAATCGGTAAAGCTGAATTATACATTTTTGATTTCTTTTATGTTGGATACTTTCAAATATTTATCATCTAATGCTTTTCGAAAATCTAACATCTGTAGATTGACCGTCTCAATCTCGAATCTTATTCTAATCTCAAAACATGGGTCGCACAACTTGACGAACGTGTAGAAGCTGTATTAACTCATCGTCTACAAACAGCAATTCAAGCATGGATAACTGAATTCACAAGTGCTGGTGAAGATTCCGTCTCTAGTAGCGACACAGTTTCGCGTGATATGCGCACTATTGGCAAAAGTGGAAAACGGTCCAAGCGTAAGAACGCTAAAGGCGATATCCTGGATGAAGAAAAAACCGCGGCTGCCTTGAAAACGGAAATGAAGCCAAGCTTGAAACCTTCATTCCATGAAGTCTGTATTCGTAATCAAGTTATATTTTTGGATCCACCGATTGAACAAGCTCGTGCAAATGTATACAATCAGTTGCACGAATGGCTTGGTGAGCATTATTATGTTATTTTCGGTATAAATGATTATTTTTTTTTATTTATTATTAATTATTAATATAAAATTCAGCTATTGTGTGTAATCTACCGCGACTTCAAAGTTCACGATACGAGATAGAACTTCAAGTTCGAGGTCCCATTTCCCAGGAAACTACATACTCAAATTTATTAACTTTGGTAACTGACAACTCCCTCGAGAAGGCCTACGAAATGATTGAACACAAACTAAAAGAAGTTGCCGAATACGTTAGCATCTGGTTCCGATTCCAATCATTATGGGACCTTGACTCCAGCCAAGTATACAATCAACTCGGCGATAATTTAGCGAAATGGCAACAAATTCTCACCGAAATCAGAAAATCGCGTGCCACATTTGACAATTCTGACATTGAACAATCTTTCGGTGCAATTGTTGTCGATTATGAGCAAGTACGAACAAGAGTCACCGAGAAATACGATGCCTGGCAAAAGGAAATCACTAATAAATTTGGTGCCAAGTTGGGTGAATCTATGCGCGAATTTCATACTTCAGTCTCGAGAGCTCGAACCGATCTTGAACAACATTCGGTCGAAAGCAACGCTACAGGCGAAGCAGTTACATTTATTACTTTTGTGCAAGAACTTAAACGTAAGAAGGCTAAATGGGAAGCAGAAGTTGAAGTGTTTCGCAATTGTCAAAAGACTTTGTCTAAGGCGCCCGCTTTCCAAACTCCTCGTAATTGGTTGCATGTGGAGCAAATTGAGGGTGAATGGAGTGCTTATTTAGAAATATTGAATAAAAAGAACGGTGCAATTCAAGATCAAATTGGTAAGTCAATATTTCTGGTTTTAGTCCTTGCTTTTTAAATAAATCTTATCTTAAAATATTAAATTCATTATTCTTTTTTATTATAAACAGCTGGTTTACAAGATAAAATTGTCGCCGAAGACAAAGTTGTGGACGGAAAAATCAAGCAGATTGTCACCGACTGGGATTCGAACAAACCAATTCAAGGAGACATCAAACCCGAAGTTGCTATTAGCACACTCACCAAATTCGAAACTCGCGTTTCTCGTCTTAAGGAAGAATACGATATGGTATGCCGTGCTAAGGAGGCACTCGATCTTGACTTGACTTCTGAAGATCGACTTGACCCTGTTCTTGAAGAACTCAAAGATCTCAAATCTGTTTGGAATGAACTATCAAAAGTTTGGACGACAATCAACGAAGTTAAAGAATCACTTTGGTCTTCGGTTGTACCACGAAAGATCAGAACAAGTCTCGATAATTTATTAAGTTCTACTAAAGAGATGCCAACTCGAATGCGTCAATATGCTGCTTTTGAATATGTGCAACTAGCATTGCGTGATTACATTAAAATTAATCCCCTTCTTTCCGATTTGAAATCTGAGGCATTGAAAGAACGACATTGGAAACAACTGTTTAAGCAATTACGTGCTGAAGGTCGCTTCCTTTTATCAGAAATGACTGTTGGGCATCTTTGGGATATGGATCTTCGTAAAAATGAAACAGTTATAAGAGATATTGTAGTTCAAGCCCAGGGTGAAATGGCTCTCGAAGAGTTCTTGAAACAGGTTTGTTATTAATATTTAACATGTATTTTAATTGTTGGGTTGCATCTTGATTAATCTATTTCTAAATTTTTACAAAAAGGTCCGAGAAACTTGGACAAATTATGTATTAGAACTTGTCAACTATCAAAATAGATGTCGTCTTATCAAAGGTTGGGATGAACTTTTCACTAAATGCAGTGAAAATCTCAATTCTTTGACAGCCATGAAAATGTCTCCATATTATAAAACTTTCGAAGAGGAAGCTTCCTCATGGGAAGACAAACTCAATCGTGTGCATGTTTTATTCGATGTATGGATTGATGTACAACGACAATGGGTCTATCTAGAAGGCATTTTCAGTGGAAGCGCAGATATTAAACATCTTCTACCAATCGAAACCCAACGTTTCACGAATATAAATTCAGAATTCTTGACAGTCATGAAAAAAGTCTACAAATCACCGTATGTCTTGGATGTTTTGGGTATCCAGGGTGTACAAAAATCTCTCGAGCGTCTCGCTGACTCACTGGGCAAAATTCAAAAAGCCCTTGGTGAATATCTTGAGCGAGAACGATCTTCATTTCCACGTTTTTACTTTGTGGGTGATGAAGATTTACTTGAAATCATTGGTAATAGCAAGGATGTTGTCCGAATTCAAAAGCATTTTAAGAAAATGTTTGCAGGTGTATCAAATATTATATTGAACGAGGATAATACCGTGATATTGGGCATGGCTTCTCGTGAAGGGGAAGAAGTGGTATTTAGAACGCCAATTTCAATTAAAGAAAATCCAAAAATTAACGACTGGCTTACCATGATAGAAAAAGAAATGCGAGTATCACTCGCACAATGGCTGACTGATGCTGTCGCTGATTTGAATACATTTTATCTTGCTGAAGAACTATCAATTCCTACTTTCCTTGAATGGATTGATAAATATCCATCCCAATTAGTTGTCGTTGCTGCACAAATCATTTGGACTCAATCTGTCGACAAAGCTCTCAACACAATTTACGAAGGTGACCGTAATGATCATGCTCCATTGACCGAATCTCTACAATATGTACTTCGTGCATTGAAAGTATTGGCTGAGACCGTACTTCAAGATTTAACTTCCACAAAAAGAAAGAAATGCGAACATTTAATTACTGAACTTGTGCATCAACGTGATCTTATTCGACAACTTCGAAACAATAAAATATCATCACCCAAAGATTTTGAATGGCTTTATCAGATGCGATTCTACTTCAATCCAAATGTTGAAGATCCATTAACAAGGCTTACTATCAATATGGCTAATGCACAATTCTATTATGGCTACGAATATCTTGGTGTCCCTGATCGTCTTGTACAGACACCTCTCACTGATCAATGTTATCTTACTCTTACACAAGCTTTGGAAAGCCGTTTAGGAGGCTCGCCATTTGGACCTGCAGGTAATTCTTTTTATAAAATTTTAAAATTTAGTTGAATTCAACAATACTAATAACAATATTATTATTAGGCACCGGAAAAACTGAATCAGTGAAAGCCTTAGGTGTTCAACTTGGTCGTTTTGTACTTGTCTTCTGCTGTGACGAGAATTTCGATTTCCAAGCTATGGGTCGTATTTTCGTTGGTCTTTGTCAAGTTGGTGCTTGGGGTTGTTTTGACGAATTTAATCGACTCGAGGAAAGAATTTTGTCTGCTGTTTCGCAACAAGTTCAAACTATTCAACTCGGATTGAAGGCAGTAAAGGATAATCCTAATGCAGAAGTTGAAATTGTCGGAAAGAATTTAGTTGTTAATACAAATACTGGTACTTTATTATAACTTTTGTCAGTTTATATAAAAGTTGATTTTGTAGTTTACCTAATCAAATATAAACAATTTTTTGTTTTAAATAGGTATCTTTATTACTATGAATCCTGGCTACGCCGGTCGCTCAAATCTACCTGACAATCTAAAGAAACTATTCCGAAGTATTGCTATGACCAAGCCAGATCGAGAGCTTATCGCACAAGTTATGTTATACTCTCAAGGATTTGGAACTGCCGAAACACTTGCGTCAAAAGTTGTCCCATTATTTAATCTTTGTGCTGAACAACTTTCACCGCAAGCGCATTATGACTTTGGTCTTCGTGCCTTGAAAAGTGTGCTTGTGAGTGCTGGTAATATGAAACGTGAAAGGCTGGTAAATCTTAGAAAGCAAATCGAGTCCGGTGAGAAGGATGAATCAGACCTTATAAAAATTTCGGAGTCAATTGGCGAGCAAGAAATTGTTATTCAAAGTATTCGTGAAACTATTGTTCCAAAATTGGTCGCCGAGGATATTTACCTATTAACTAGTCTGCTAGCGGATGTATTCCCTGGGGTTGATTATATTCCTGTTGATCTGGAACAACTTAAAGATGAAATTATCAATGTGTGTAAGGAACGTCGTCTTGTTCCTGGTGACTCGTGGATGGAAAAAGTTTTGCAACTTTATCAAATTCAAAATATTCATCACGGTTTGATGATGGTTGGTCCTTCTGGTTCAGGAAAATCTCAAGCATGGCAGGTTCTATTGAAAGCCCTGGAAAAAGTCCAAGGTATTGAGGGTATGGAATACGTTATTGATCCCAAGGCAGTATCAAAAGACGCTTTATATGGTACTCTCGATCCTACTACTCGTGAATGGACAGACGGACTATTTACACATATATTACGTAAAATTGTTGATAATGTTCGTGGTGAAAAAAATAAGCGACATTGGATTATATTTGATGGTGATGTCGATCCAGAGTGGGTAGAAAATTTGAATAGGTAAGCTAAGCATGCATTTTATTGAAATTTTTGCAACAACCATTGAATACTAACGAGAATTTAATATTTGCTTTAAAGTGTATTGGATGACAATCGATTACTTACCTTGCCCAATGGTGAAAGATTGGGTTTACCAGGCAATGTTCGTATTATGTTTGAAGTCGAAAACTTGAAATATGCCACATTAGCTACAGTTAGTCGTTGTGGTATGGTTTGGTTTAGTGAAGAAGTCATCACAGTGTCCATGATTTATAACAACTACTTGGAAACCCTCAAAACTCAACCTTTGGATGATTCCGAGGAAGATGGTCTTGCTTCGTCGCGAAGAAATGAGTTATCAGAGGAAAACACCTCACCCAATATTCTCACTCAACGTGCTATCGCCAAGATATTAGCAACTCATATGACTGAGGATGGTTTCGTGACTAAGGCTCTTGAACACGCTGCATCTTTAGAGCACATTATGGATTTCACGCAAATGCGTGTACTAAACACATTATTCTCTTTACTCAATAAAACAGTGCGCAATGTCATTGAATACAATGTACAACACCCAGATTTCCCAATGTCTGCGGATTTATTGGAAAATTATGTATCAAGACGTCTCATACTTTGTGTGATTTGGAGTTTCTCGGGTGATTGTAAATTAGATTTACGTGCTAAACTCGGTGAATATGTACGCAGCATCACAACTATTGATTTGCCACCAGCGCAACCTGGATCTTCTATTATTGATTATGATGTTCAAGTGAACAATGCTGAGTGGACTGCTTGGGCCGGAAAAGTTCCTACCATTGAAATTGAAACTCACACTGTCGCTGAAGCAGATGTCGTTATTCCGACTGTTGACACAGTACGACATGAAGAAGTTTTGTATTCATGGCTTTCTGAACATAAACCTCTCTTACTTTGTGGTCCCCCTGGTTCCGGGAAAACAATGACATTATTCAGTGCTCTTAGAAAATTACCTGACATGGAAGTAATTGGTCTCAACTTCTCGAGTGCTACCACTCCTGAATTAATATTAAAAACATTTGAACAATACTGTGAATATAGAAAGACACCTAATGGTGTTATGTTATCGCCAATTGTAATAGGCAGATGGATTGTATTATTCTGTGACGAGATTAATTTACCTGCTACTGATAAATATGGCACTCAACGTGTTATCTCTTTCATTAGACAATTAGTCGAGTATGGAGGATACTGGAGAACTTCAGATAAATCATGGGTGAAACTTGAACGTATCCAATTCGTAGGTGCATGCAATCCTCCTACTGATCCTGGTCGTGTACCATTAACTCATAGATTCATGCGTCATGCTCCCTTGGTGATGGTCGATTATCCTGGATCACTTTCTCTCAATCAAATTTACGGCACCTTCTCACGAGCAATGTTAAAAGTGGTTCCTAACTTGCGTGCTTATGCTGAGCCACTCACTGCTGCAATGGTCGACTTTTATTTGATGTCACAAAGACACTTTACACCTGATATTCAAGCTCATTATATTTACTCACCTCGTGAATTAACTCGATGGATGAGAGGTATATTTGAGGCCATCAAACCATTAGAAACTTTATCGCTTGAAGGTCTCGTGCGTATATGGGCCCATGAAGCTTTACGTTTGTTCCAAGATCGTCTTGTAACTGAAGAGGAAAAAAGATGGACAGATGATAATATTGACGCCATCGCTTTGAAGCATTTCCCTGGTCTCAATCAAATAGAAGCTTTGAGCAGGCCAATTTTATTCTCTAACTGGATTAATAAATTCTATATTCCTGTGGAACGTGAACAACTACGTGAATTTGTAAAAGCTCGTCTTAAGGTGTTCTACGAAGAAGAATTAGATGTACCATTAGTGCTATTCAATGATGTATTGGACCATGTTCTCCGTATTGATCGTGTATTCCGACAAATGCAAGGTCATTTACTATTAATTGGCGTAAGTGGCTCTGGTAAAACCACACTTTCAAGATTCTGTGCTTGGATGAATGGTCTAAGTGTTTTCCAAATTAAAGCACATAATAAATACACTGGCGAAGATTTCGATGAAGATTTGAGAATTGTGTTACGCCGTGCTGGATGTAAAGGCGAAAAAGTATGTTTCATTATGGACGAATCAAATGTATTAGATTCTGGTTTCTTAGAACGTATGAACACACTTTTGGCCAATGCTGAAGTTCCTGGCCTTTTCGAAGGAGACGAATACAACACTTTGATGACGGGATGTAAAGAAGGAGCTCAGAGAGAAGGATTGATGTTAGACTCGCACGAAGAATTGTATAAATGGTTTACACAACAAGTAATGAAGAATTTGCATGTGGTGTTTACAATGAATCCGCCCGAGGGAGGTTTAGCCTCTCGTGCAGCCACCTCGCCAGCCTTGTTTAATCGTTGTGTATTGGATTGGTTTGGTGATTGGCCTGATCAAGCATTCTTCCAAGTTGGTATGGAATTCACAAACAACCTGGATTTAGATCTCACGTCATATTCACCACCTGCAAACTTCCCGGTTGCTTATCGTGCATTATCTCTGCCACCGATACACCGTTTTGCTATCGTCAATGCTTTTGTATTTGTTCATCAATCGTTATACGAAATAAACGCGAAACTAAGCAAACGTCAAGGCCGATACAATTACGTTACACCACGTCATTATCTTGACTTTATTAATCATTATGTACGATTATTTAATGAGAAACGTGAAGACTTGGAAGAACAACAGCGCCATTTGAATATTGGACTTGAAAAATTACGTGATACTGTCATCAAAGTCGAAGAACTTCGAAAAAGTCTGGCCATTAAAAATAAAGAATTAGAAGCTAAAAATGCCGAAGCAGAAGCAAAATTAAAAATAATGGTAGCCGATCAAAACGAAGCAGAAAACAAAAAAGAAGCCTCTAAGCAAATTCAAGTTGCCCTCGAAAAACAGACCAAAGATATTGATGAACGTCGTGAAGTAGTATTAAGGGATTTGGCGAATGCTGAACCGGCTGTACAAGAAGCCCAAAAAGCTGTACAAGGTATCAAAAAACAACAACTCACTGAAGTTCGATCTATGGGTAATCCACCGGAACCTGTGAAAATGGCAATGACATCTGTCTGCACCTTACTGGGACGACCTTGTGAAACCTGGAAATTGGTACAAACTGCAATTCGTAGTGACGATTTCATTACTAGCATTGTGAACTTTGACACTGATAAGCGAATGACCAAACCTGTTCGCGAGAAAATGAAGAATGAATATCTCAGTAAACCATCGTATAATTACGAGTTAGTGAACAGAGCCAGTAAAGCTTGTGGTCCATTAGTCAAATGGGTGATTGCACAAGTTAACTTCTCGGAAATTCTCGATAGAGTTGGTCCATTACGTAATGAAGTATCAGATTTACAAAAACAACAAGAGAGCACAAAATTAAGAGCTGTCACAATTGAAAAGATGATTAACGATTTAGAGAGCAGTATTGCACGATACAAAGACGAATATGCACAATTGATTAGTCAAACGCAAACAATCAAGGGTGAAATGGAACAAGTCAAAAATAAGGTCGATCGTAGTTTGACACTTCTCGGCAGTCTGTCTTCTGAAAAAGAACGGTGGGAAACAGGAAGTCAAGCATTTGAAACACAAATGGGTACAATTGTCGGTGATGTTTTACTATCAGCTGCATTCCTTGCTTATGGCGGTTACTTTGATCAGCAATATCGTGAGGTTCTGTTGAGTAAATGGACCAGTCATTTAGTGAATGCAAATATTTCATTTAAACAAGAATTATCTTTGACTGAATATTTATCGACAGCTGATGATCGTCTATCTTGGCAAGCTAAATCTCTTCCAGCCGATGACCTTTGCACAGAAAATGCAATCATGCTTAAACGATTCAACAGATATCCCCTTATTATCGATCCATCGGGTCAAGCCTCAACTTTCCTAATGAACGAATATAAAGATAGAAAGCTTACCGTCACCAGTTTCTTGGATGATTCATTCATCAAAAATCTTGAAAGTGCTCTTCGTTTCGGTAATCCATTACTTATTCAAGATGTCGAGCATCTCGATGCCATCATCAATCCAATTCTCAATAAAGAATTACGTCGAACTGGAGGTCGTGTTTTGATCCGTTTGGGTGGTCAAGATATCGATTTCTCGCCCGCGTTCACATTATTCCTTTCAACTCGTGATCCATCAGTCAATTTCCCACCAGATATATGCAGTCGTGTGACCTTTGTCAATTTCACCGTCACCCGTGGCAGTTTACAGAGCCAATGTTTGAATCAAGTTCTTAAAGTTGAACGTCCAGACACCGATAAGCGAAGAACTGATCTAATCAAGTTACAAGGCGAATTTAAATTGAAATTACGGCATCTTGAAAAATCTCTTTTGCAAGCATTGAACGAATCAAAAGGAAATATTTTGGACGATGCTAAAGTTCTTGATACTCTCGAGACCTTAAAGAAAGAAGCAGCCGAAATCACTCGTAAAGTAGAGGAAACAGACACTATTATGCAAGAAGTCGAACAAGTCACCGCAGAATATACTCCCCTTGCACAAGCATGTAGTTCTGTATTCTTCGTCATGGAACAACTTAATCTTCTTCACCATTTCTATCAATTCTCTCTAGAATACTTTTACGAAATTTTCGAGTACATTCTTCATGAAAATCCAAATCTCAGAGAGGTCACCGAAAATTCTCAAAGGTTGAGAATCCTCACACGTGACCTATTCAATGTAACTTTCCATCGTGTAACACGTGCACTATTACATGAAGACTATATTACTTTTGCTCTTTTACTATCTCAAATTAAAATTCGTGGAGATCAACATCAAATCGACGAGACAGAGTACGATTTCTTGCTGAATGGTGGTGATGTTGTACCTGGCACTAAGGTGTCCGCTCATGAATTAGGATTGCCCGATGACCTTATCGATAATGACCAAGCCGCTCGTATTAAAGAGTATACAGCATTACCTTGCTTCTCAAATCTTATATCGCATATTACTCGACAAGAAGAAGACTGGAGCGATTTCATTGAAGCTGATTCCGCAGAAAAGCATGTACCTGTTTGTTGGGATCCTAGCTTGCCTTGTAAGTTGTTATAATTTATACATTTTTACTTCATGCATTTTCTTTGCGAGTACACATTTCTAAAATCCAATACTTTATTATTAGCTGTTGTTGTTCAATTGAGAAAATTACTGCTTGTCAAATGTTTCCGACCTGATAGACTGCAACCTGCTACAGCTGCATTTGTCGCCATCGTATTTGATGATGGATTCCTTAATCAGACAGAGCTTGATATTAAAGCAATGGTAATGAACGAAATCAATCCATCTACTCCAATTTCTCTTTGCTCTGTTCCCGGTTATGACGCTAGTTATCGTATCGATAATCTTGTTGCGGAAGTCAATGCTCGTTGCACATCTGTCGCTATGGGCTCTCAAGAAGGTTTCACATTAGCAGACCAAGCAATCGCTTCAGCAATTAAGAATGGCAGTTGGGTTCTACTGAAGAACGTACATTTAGCACCTTCGTGGCTTGGACAGTTGGAGAAGAAATTGCATAGCTTAAAAGCACACAACAGCTTCCGTTTATTCCTTACCATGGAAACTAATCCTAAAGTACCAGTCAACCTCTTGCGTCTATCGCGAGTTCTTATGTTCGAACCACCACCAGGTATAAAAGCCAATCTCCAAGACTCACTTAAAGGCATTCCCCCTAGTCGTCTCAGCAAAGGTCCTAGCGAACGTGTCCGATTGTATTTCCTTCTTGCTTGGCTACATGCAATCGTACAAGAACGTCTCCGATATGTTCCTCTTGGATGGACCAAAATTTACGAATTTAATGATTCCGATCAAGATTTCTCTATAAACACCATTGACGCTTGGATAGACTCGGTAGCTCAAGGAAGAGCAAATATAGCACCCGAAAAAATTCCATGGGATGCTCTTCGCACTCTTATCACAACATCTGGTTATGGTGGTCGTATTGATAATGAATTCGACAAGAGGCTTCTAGAGTCTTTTGTTAATTCTCTATTCACTCCTGAAGCATATAATATAGATTTTCCATTAGTTGACGCTGATGACGATAATACACTAACTATTCCTGAAGGTACTAAGATGGAACGTTTCTTGAAATGGGTTAATGATTTACCAGAACGTGAACCCCCTGCATGGTTAGGATTACCAAGTAATGCAGAAAGAGTATTGGCCACTACGCAAGGTATATGTTATTAATTTACTCTTATTTTTGTGATTTGCAATGGATAAAAGAAATTAACAAAGATTCCCCCATTATTCAAGGTTTGGGTATGCTTGGAAAGGTTCGCAAGATGAAGAGTCTCTCTGATGACGATGAAGTCGCTTATTCTCAAGAATCAGGTTCCGGAAAACCTGGCGCATCTGCACAACCAGCTTGGATGCGTGCTTTAGTAGTGTCCGTAGATAATTGGTTACAAATCTTGCCAGAGGTTAGTTAATATTCCTTTATATTCTATGTTTTATTTTATCGAATTATTATTAAGTTATTTTTTTGTTCGTTCGAATTGTACAGAAAATGCCTAAAATGAATAAAACAGCTCAAAGTATAAAAGACCCATTATTCCGATTCTTTGATCGTGAAAATTCAATTGGACGTAGTCTCCTTGGAAAAATACGACAAGATTTACATGATATCAAGAAAGTCTGTGAAGGAGAACTTAAACAGACAAATCACCTTCGTATGCTTTTGAATTGTTTGACTAAAGGTTAGTATTATTTCATCATTATTAACCCCTTAAAAATTACATTAATTAATGCTTATAAATATTTTTGATCGATTATAGGCATAATTCCCGATCACTGGCGCAAATATAAAATCCCTCAAAACGTATCCCTTAATCACTGGATTGCGGACTTCAAAAGCCGCCTGCAACAACTTGACTCAATCACCAACGAAACAAACTTCCAAGACTTGCAAGTATGGCTCGGTGGCTTATTCATGCCCGAAGCCTACATAACAGCCACGCGTCAAGCTGTCGCACAAAGGAACGTCTGGTCACTAGAAGACCTCAGACTGGAAGTCGACATCAACAAGAGCGGTGATGATGATGCGTTTGTTGTCTCTGGCCTTAAATTAGAAGGTGCACGATGGGAAAATGATCAATTGCAACTTACCTCAGCTCCGTCCACCAAACTTGAGCTCACGCAGATACGATGGGTATTGAAACAAGGCGTGGCTGCTGTTAAATCTGATGATGTGGTTTTACCGGTTTATCTTAATTCGGATCGTAGCGAGTTGTTGTTTGTTATTTCGGTGAATAGTCAAGCTACAAAATATAAGATTTCGCAACGCGCTGTCGCTGTGATTATTTGGTAGATTATAATAATGAATTTATTAGATTAACACCTTGTATTCCCTCTTTTGATGTATTTATTTAATTGTTTGATTCTTCAATTATTCTTGTCATTTTAAATGTTTTATTGTCCTTATTTATTATTGTATTAATTTACAAATTTATTAGCAAAAACTCAGTATGCTTGGTATAGTAAAAACTAATTCATGATTAACGATAATGATTCTAGTTGTAAAATGATGACAGACAAAAAGCTCTTCTCACATTGGCAAGTGAACATCCAAACACAAAATGCGGGCCGCAATTATGAAAAAATCAATTGCTAGTTCCTAAAAATTTCATTACTTAAATTGTATTTTTTTAATAATACAAGCAGATGATCTGTTGAGCTCCAATTGTTTTCTGGATAAAACGAATCTGGATAAAAAGTTTAGCTATTTTTCCGCAGATTAACTTACAAGAAGAGTCTTGGACAATTTATCCAAGTAACATCAAGAAACAGTACTGAGAAAACTGATTCTTGGCAAGAAATTGTGTTTACATTCTATGTAATGATGATCATGAAACACGATTATTCTATTATTGTTATTATTATTTGGGAAATCATGCATAATTTTAAACATAAGTAAAACTCATTTTATGCTTATCTATTCGCCATTCAAGGATTTGCTAATTATGTGACGAGAACGCGCATGTGATAATGATTTCCTAAAACAGCCAACAAAATGATCTCTTTAATAATGCAAGTATTGATATATCTGATATGAGCCAAGAACATTGGATCGTCTTTTGATTTGGCATACAATACAAAAATAAAACAAAACCTGGGAAGTACAACCTCAATAATATTACGTGCATAGTGGCTAATACTTTTTGCGTTCTTATGCAGCCATTGTGTATGGATGAGGAGGCGTTCATTAAGAAAGGTGGCGAAAATATCTCAAAAGCAATCCAAAAAGAATTTTGTGGCGACAAAATCTAGTGAGGCAAGATGTTATGTATCGTACACATGCGAAATTGGTTAATTGTCTCATCTCTGTAGAATTAATTATCGACGATAAGTACTAGAAGATTCGAGAGTAGTCGGCTGCTTTAATAATCTAGTTCTCACAAAATTACGCGTCTTTTTTTGTGGTTGAATTTTTTTGTTCCAAGAGATTCTTTTTTTTTACAAATATATGTAAACGTTACGCGCGTCATGCATACATATCATCACTAACATCTCATCACCATCAACGCCGAATTCAATTATACCATAATAGAATGAATGAAATAACAAAGAAAAAACATACTTTGATTAGTAGAGACTTCATCGTAATTGTCACCACTTTTTTTCTGTATTATCACTTTAATAAAAAATAATAATAATGTTATCCTAATAAAAAAAATAAATGTATGCGATGCAATAGTTTTGATGTGATTTTTTCACGCATACACAACAGACGTCATAGCGATAACGATAAAAGGCACGCGAAACACAAATACTGCGGATCCTTTTTTTCTAAGCAAGTTTTGCTAGTTGTATCAAACTCGTAACGTTCTTTTGTTTTTAAAATGATGACAGTCTTCGTCAATTCAACACACACCTCTGCTACCACGACAAATCATCTGTTCTTTGTGCAATTTCCTTAAATGGAAAAACATCAATAATTGATCGAATTTACTGTTTATCTATTAGTAATCTTGAATAAAGCATTCAAATAAATGAATCGATACAATGAAACATAATTTTATTTGTGTCACCCACTAAGAAATAATTTTATGTGTAATAACCGAAATTTTGTGTTGGTAGAAATTTCAACGAATAATCGTTGTTGATCACAGCGACAACAAAAAAAATCTCATTCATAATATTAAAAGATTTCAAAATTTCTATCATAGGAAGAAAGGAAGGGTTACCAATACATATTGATATACATACCGCATATCGGAGCCTCACTCCGATACGTGATTTGAAGCCATGAGAGGGAACATTAATCTTCTTGTGTTAAATGATAAGTATTCTATGTCGCTCAAATATACGTGTCAGTTTATGTAAAGAGCTTACAATTGTTGTCATAAAATAAAAAACATCGTTTAAACATCCATCCATAATAACACACAAATTTAATTACTGTACTCGAATTTTTTTTTCCAAAAATAGAAAGAAAATGTGCGGAATCAATCAATCATATATACAGTGATAAAATTAGACTATCATAAAATTAGACTATCCCATTTCATAATCGAAGAGCGAAAGTAGCACACATTTCATATACATTGGTACATGTGTGCTACCAAGCCCATTTATTATCGTTGTCACAATTATCACACTTGAAAAGTTCGTGTGCGACCTTAGACTTTTACTGCGCACAATCAATGTCTTGTCTAGACTTAATACCGCAGTAGTTATTGTCAGTCATACGACAAAAACCATGCATGGATGGATAAGCATATATTCACAAATATGATTATTAGGTTAGTTCAGTTTTATCATAAATGACGACGCCACTATTAATTTATGCTGCTTGAACGTCTCTCGATTGATTGTACAAGTCCTCAGAAGAGAGACAGACAAATTAATTTGATCTTTTACCCCCCCATTTAATTGGTTCTGTCCATTCTACACAGAACTTCTTTTTTATGCACCTAATTACGACGCTACTTATGAATTAATTAAAGACCGACCGTCTGTCTTTGATTAGTCAAACTATAATTGACAACATAAAAATAATATCAATATCAACACAGCCTCATAAAATGGCGTTAGAAAGTGTGTATGAGACAAAAGTGTTTGATCTTCTTTTAAATTTCCATGGGGGGTGAGTCAGACAAAAGGGAAAATTCCGATCAAGATATATACCTCAAATTTGAAGGGGGCGTTTCATTAGTTGGTTTGATGTTTGAAATAGATTCTGTCTCTTTCAATAGAAAATCTATTCAACTTGCTACTCGAGCAATCCGAATTTACAGTATTAGAAGTAAACCCAACGATTTTTTGTCGAATCGTTTTTTTTCGGAGTTATAATCCATAGTGTAACTACTAACTAACTATCAATCAAATCAATCAATGTGATGTAAAAATATCACTTTCTTATTAAGTCACATAAATGAAGTTATTTTTACTATCATCACAACCCCTCCAAATAATTATTTCTTTTTCGCTCTTTAATATATACACAACTATTTTTATGGATGTGATTAATCAGTAATTATTATTATTATTATTATTATTATTATTATTATCATCGATTAAATCGTAAAAATCAACAGTTAATAATAAAATAAATATTTATTACTTTATTTTACAATAAATAATATATTACCGTTATAGTCAGTATTTGTATAAATTAAACAAGTCTTACCCAAATTTTTCTTCTCTCTTCCTCTACCACTTTTCACCACTTATCTTTACTATTTGCCTCGTTAACATATTTTACATGAAAAAAGGAGAGCGCGAGAGAAAAAAACACATTTTTATTTTTCATTTTTTATTTCTCCTCTACCACTCCTAAACGATTCCAATTGTATGTATATATTGTAAATATCATTTGGGAGAAGGAGGATTTTTCCAACACGAAAAAAACGTCATACAGATTTTGTATACTAGTTAAGTTATAGTCTATATTACATTAGTGGTATTTCGGGATTTATCACGAAAAAGATTCCACTCAATATATTACCTTAAATAATAACAACAATAATAATAGTAGTAACAATATAGAGAACAAAAGACGACCAAATTTATAGAGAAATAGAGCTCGACATTTTTCTTCATTCCTTATCTTCCTTTACTTTTGCTATCAGATACTTGGAGCTTTTTGCTCTCAGCAAAAGCACGAAGCTTTATAGAAGTAGGTTCCTTTGATACATCACATTATTATTATTTCATAAATAATATTATTTTCAATTACTATTTCGTAAATGATATTACTAAATGAATTAATCTATTTATTATCAGGACCTTTCAAAGCTTTATCAATAACCATTCCATCAGCAACATTCAATAACAAAATCCCACCGGAACAATTTAATTCTTTTTAATTAACACTATTTCGTCAATATCAACAACAACGACGACAACAACGACATCAACAAAACTCGTAAACACCATTTTTGAAAATTCAATGACTACATTCCCTTTGACATACGTCTACGATCAAAATAGCAACAACGATAACAACGATAATTCCGGAGACTTTATTATCTTTAACAGTAGTAGTGATAATAATTTTATTAATAACACTTATAGTAATAGTAATGAAGAATCTATTAATGATCTCACCATCGGTGAAATTAATGATTCTTTCAGCGTAAATCACGGTGCTCCGGTTGCTGCATTCGATCATAACGACAATAACGATCATAACGGCGACTTATATAGTCTCTTTCCGCTTACTGCTACAACCACTCCATATCATAAACCACACGAGAATTTTAGTAACGTCGAAGACGGCGACGAGGATCTTATTTATGTTGATACTCCTGTTGATCACGTCTCTATAAACAACAATAATATCAATAACAATATTAGTAATCAACACTATACTAATAATTCACTATACACCATTGCGTCCGCTACAACTACACCATTCTTCGCTAGTTTAGACGACTTTAGTAATAATAATAATAATAATAATAATAATAATAATAATAATAACAACAACAATAATAATAATAATATTAACAATTTTGTATACGGTGGATATAATTCCGTTACGACGACTCCTCACTTGAGTAACTTGGGAAACTCTTTTCCAGGCTCGATTCAAAGAAATCGTCATCATCGAAATTCTATTGCTCCTGGTTTTTATTCAGCCACGACAACTCCATATATAGGCGCTACCGGTGACGATTTCTCGAACCCTATCAACAACAATTTTCTCTTTTTTTCACCTATTATTACAACTCCGACTTCGCCATCTTTGAGTAGATTTGATTTACATCCGAATCCACCAGTTGTACCATCTCAATTAGGAGGTGGATTGTCAACAAGACAATCAACTACCAATTCAATCACAGACAGTATTATCATATCGCCGGAATTAACTTATCTCAGTTCGCCAATATTAATTGATACTCCTGCTAGTTTTTTCCCCCCGTTGGCTTCAACATCGCCAAGAGTTGAACAGACTCCCAGTTATTCCTCTGAGATTTTATCAACTGCTCCTTCGACCGCAGTAAATACTCCTTATACTGGTCCTCTATCGACATTCACAGAAGAAGCTGCTTTGAATTCGAATAATATTAATAACATTACGTCATCCTCAACTCCTAGTATCGAAAAATCTACGTTGTTAAATAAACCTAAACGACCAAGAGTATCAAATCCTTTCGCTGAACTCAATTTCATATCTCCTTCTTCTACACTTACCATAAACATGGCTTCTGTATCACCAACTAATACAGTCGATAAGCCAACCGAAGAAAAAATTATTGGAGATGTGGACTTGTCTACAATCATTCAAGATGATGGACAAGAGGAAAGTTCGAAGACCACCGTTATGAACACATCTCCTGTCACCACTGTTCTCTCCGATCAAACAAATCCTCGTCCGGTGCCAATTAGACCTCGTCCGGACGAGGATCAAAAACAAGAGGCACCTCGAAAAAGAAGAAAAAGTGACGATGGATCCATGGAAATTGACCAGGAAGGAGATTCAGAGCCCGATGATGCTAATGGCAAAACTTACGTATGTTCCAAATGTGGTCGCGGTTTCCAAAGAAAATTCAATATGCAAACACACGAATCAACTCACGACCCAAATCGAGTCAAACCATTCGCATGTGATTTCCCGAGCTGTGGATCAAGATTCACACGAAAACACGATCTTAAACGACACATTAACGGGATTCACAAAGGAGAAAAGGTTCATGAATGTAACGCCTGTCAGAAACCATTTAGTCGAAAGGATGCTTGGAAGCGACACCAGTCTTCTTGCGGCAAAAACTAGATCACAAAAACAAAATGATACATATTTGTATGGAGGATCACTCATTTAATAATATTTTGAAAATCCGAAATGTGATGCAGCAATAGTCGTTAGCTTGTCATTATACTTTGTATGAACAAAATCGATCGATCAATCAACCAATCAAATCAAATCAACTCAACTCAACTCAACTCAATAATTAAATCAATTAATAAATACTCCATGTAATCAAAGTATTAACAAGTAACTGATAATGGATGTGGGTCTATGGCTCTTCCCCATTATCAGTCTTGGACGGCTTGTATTCTGCTGCTACCTTTTCTCTACTACTTATTCTATTATTCTTATTCCTCCACCTCTTGTTAATTAAATAATCTTCCTTGTTCATTGTTCCACATATACACACAAACACACAAAATTCATGTTATTTTTTAATATATTAATATTTATATTTGTCCTTTGGTCTCATTCGATATTTTAGAGGACATTTCCATGCGAATATTTGATGAGATTTTTTATTTTAATCTTACATTCAATATTGTTCTTGTTCTTGTTGAAGTATGTTAGTTAATAAGGAGATGATTTGTTGGGTACTTTAGTATTATTCACATATTATTCATCAGCCAATAATAATAATAATAATAATAATAATAATAATAATAATAATAATAATAATAATAATAATAATAATAATAATAATAATAGTAATATCGATATAGGATGGATATATTAAATATCATCCGAGAGAACATTCCGTAATGATAGCATGTATTAAATTTGAAATCAGAATGACGAGAGGATGTAGTTGGTTGGTAGGATGATCGATTTAAAGTTGACGGGAATCATCTTTCTTTTCATGTTTTCTTTTATATATATATCATATTCTATGTAGTTAGTTAGTCAATTATCTGTTGTAAATAGCGACGATTGAGAAATGATTGTTGCAACATATGTACAAAATTGATCTACTGTGTTTAAATCTAATGTGCGTTGACCATTGTGTGTGCATGCCACAGCGCACATCAATTCAATTTTTACACTAGCTTAATGAAATGCATCAGATTTCGTTTTGGTTCTACTCGATCATATTAATTATTTTATAAATAAAACAAAAATTCGATGGCGAATCCACTAGTGTTAAAAGTGAAAATGCACGGACCTATGTCCGGCCATGCTAATGGACAACTCTCATTTGAAGGCGATTCGTTGTTTTTGGAACATGAGGATGGGCAGAAAGTCACTGCGATGCATTGGTATTTTGCCTTTTTCTTTATCTGGAGTATTTTCTTGCAGAATCTCATTCTTTTTTGTTCTTTTACTTTTAGGCATCCTCTACCAAGCTTGTAAGTCATACTTGTTATTTCATGATAATGAACATATTTCCTCGATTCTTTAGCGGAATAATATGAAAGAAAAAAAATTATCATGATGGTTTTTTCAAAAGGAAAAGAAAGAGATAGAGAATTCATGCAAATTATTATAGATACATTCTTTTCGTCGCATACGACCAATCGCACAAAGTCGTCGTGGACTGTCTTCTCCCAAAAGAAACCAGCAAGAATCTAAAACAGAAGTCCTTTATCTTTGATCCTCTTGATCATGATGCCGCGAAATCGTGGGCTGAGGCAATGAATGCTGAAGTTTATAAAGGTTAGCTTAAATTTGTTGATAGAAGTTTTCTTTTAAATCTTTCGGTATTTATTCATATGTATAAACAATGACTAATCTTCTTTTTAGGTATCAAAAAATCGAAACATTTAAAGGTGATCATAAATCCATTCAGTGGCACTGGAAAAGCTAAAAAGATTTATGAGAGTCAAGTTCGACCGATATTTGAGAAGGCTCAATGTACTTTCGATGCCATATGTAAGTCGTAACCCGAATATTTCAGATGTAATATTTTATGTTGGATTATTGTAACTTGCTGAAACTAATAGACACAGAACAAAGAAACCACGCGCGAGATCTCGCAAAAAGCTTAGATTTGAGCACGTTCGATGCCATAGTTGTGATTAGCGGAGACGGCATAGTTCACGAGGTAGTAAATGGACTATTGACACGAGACGATGGAAAGCATCTGGATATCCCATTGGGTGTTATTCCAGGAGGTAATTGTTTTTTAGATGCCAAAAATGTCTGGTTTTCACTGTATTAATTTATATTGGATTCAAATGTAGGAAGTGGGAATGCACTAAGCATCTGTCTATTGGGAGAAACGAAAGGACTGAGCCCTTCACATGCTGCACTTAATGTAATTAAAGGTATTTTGTTATTTTCCTTGTGCAGTTGTGAAAGCTCGTTGATTGATTACCATAACGATTAAACTCAATCTCAACTAATTTTAGGGAAGCCACTTAAAGCTGATGTGTGTTCAGTTCAACAAGGAGATACCCGTTATTTCTCTTTTCTATCACAGAGTTTCGGTATCATTGCGGACTTGGATATAGGAACTGAACATTTGAGGTGTGATGATAATATCTCTAATAAATTTTTAGAAAAGAGAAAGTGTGTTTATTAATAAAATTCGTCTCGAAATTAAAAAGATGGATGGGCGATACTCGATTTACATATGGCTCACTAAAATGTATCATGCAAGGCCGTCGATACCCATGCGAACTTGCGGTAAAACTCAGCGAAAAAGATCTTTCGGTAATAAAAGAACAATATCGAAACTCATATAATAACAACGAATCATCAACAAATGAAAATAATAATAGCACTACTGAAAACGACATCAGCGATACAAATAATCATGTGTACGGCAGCATTGTAGATGTGTACGGCAGCATCAATGACCCAGTTCCTGATGACTGGTCCGTCTTCACCGACGATATTTGTTTATTCTACGCGGGCAAAGCGCCTTGGATGTCAAAAGGAGCACTTTTCTTTCCGTGTGCTTTGCCAGCTGATGGAAACGTGGATATGTGTATTGGGTGGAAAGATAAGCTGACGAAATTTCAGTCTATTGAAGTCCTTGGAAAGATTGATAAAGGGACTCATATAGATACGAAGATGGTAAGTGAGAGGAGATATTTTTTCTAAAATATATTTGGAGAATTCGTGAATTTTTTGTTAAAGATTTTTTGGTTGATATCTACCTACCAATATTTATTATACATATCTACAGATTGATTATTATAAAGTGAAAGCATACAGAGTAACGCCAAAATCTCAAGAAGGCATAATCAGCATCGATGGTGAAAAAGTTCCGTTTTCCCCGTTTCAGGTGGAAGTTCACGAGAAACTAGTCAATTTCCTGAGCGTGGACGGAAAATATGTCCCATCTGGGGTATAATAAACTAAATTTCCAATTACATTATTATATAATAGTATGGGTGGCGCGAAAAATAATGGGATTTTTACAATATATTATAATTTATTAAAATGTACGATTTTTAATAGAACATATTTAGATATTTATTTTTCTTGTAGTGTTTTTGATAGAACTTCTATTAATTAATTTAATTCGATCACTACCTATAAAATTTACAAATACAAGGTTTACAATATATTATTGATATTATTCCTTTCAATATCATTCAAAAAAACATCCTATCCAGTAACCGATTCAGCAAAAATTTGGATCTCCCGCCACCCAAGTTTACCTCCCAAATCTCTAGCAAACAACCAAGGCCACCACCACTCCCACCACCACAAATTCCATGTAAAAGCGCATGTCAAACCCAACGTCATCCCAGCCAAGACTTGTTCTCTTGTGTGATGACCCAATTCAACACGTGACCACACGACAGAAAGTGCAGTCATCACAAGGATTACAAGTATTGTTAGGGTGGCGGAGAAATCTAAGTTTTTGGCGAATAAATGGAGAGCGATGTAAGTGGCAAAAAACATTATTGAGGAAGAATGGGTTGATGGCATTCCGTAATGGTTTAATTTTACTAGAGGATTTTTGTCATCTTTATTATCACTGCTATTAAGACTACCGTTAGTTGTTGGTGGCAATGATCGATTTGGACGTGGTTGGCGAATTATTAACTTAAGAATTTTGGCTATTTTTTGATGAGATTGATTAAATTAGTCAAGCAAGCAAAAAAAATCATTAGAAAGCGAGCAACCGACAAACAATCATTAAACCTATTATAGTGGTAATTAATGCGCCTAAAATTGTATATATCACGTGAAAATCTCTTAAGTAGTTAAGTGATAACGCGGTGGCTATTGATAGCCATATTTTTGTCTATTATCCATATTAATTAATAACTATCAAATAAAAATGCATTTTTTTTGAGAGGAAACATTGTAGACTCTCTTACGTGATCTAAAACTACTAGAAACACCATATTTTGGAATTCAGCGAGTGTTAGCAGTTAATTTTATATAGTCAAGATTATTATTAGGTTTGAAGTGTAAAGAAACAAAACAGACATATATATAAGGTAAAAGGCGAGGTTGGTATTGTGGTGTTTAAATATAAATATATACAAATCTTAAGCACATATTGACAATATTATTGCCATATTATATCTCTTTTTTATTTGTTTTAAGCATGTTTTTTTGACCCCTTTACCTTATCGTTATATATTGTACTACTTGATAATATCCCAATTTATCTGTTCGTCCGAAACTATCGCGATGGATAAAGTCAAGGTGAATATTTTTTCATTTTCGGGTGTATCAATCTATAAGTATTGACTTCCCGACATGAAAGTGAAAAACATCTATCCTGGAGAAACAAAAAGAATTTTATCTTTTTACATTGAGATTGATTTGATTTGGTTTCGTGTTAATTGTTAAATAATTTTTGGGCGATGTGGCATTTTCGCAAAAAAGTACAGCTGCCGAATTTCAAGTAATTAACTAGATCGTCATCTATGTGTGAAAGTAACGTTCCACACGATGAAACTTTAACAAGAAAATCTATCAACAGAATATAATAATCAATCGATCGCATTATGTACATCCACAACCACCCCATCTCCCTTCCCTTCACCTATACCGCACCACACTTCGATTTACACGAAATCCCAAACAATTCCCGTTTCATTATTTACGCGAAAAAACCAAATTCAACGTTCGTGAGTTATTCGAACTATATCGCGAGGAAAAAGATATAGAGGAATTAGGGAGACTAGTTGTTCGTGGACACCAGGATTTAGAGTTTTTGAAAGCTTGGATGTTTGTCGATCCGGAGATTCGTGCTCAGATATTTAGAGGATTTGGATCGGAAAAGAAAAAAGTGGAAGGCAATGAAAATCCTTAAAATTTAAATAAAATAAATGATTTTGCTTTTATTCGACTATTCCCCCAAATTAGTTTTGGGTAATAATAAATGATTAATTGGCTAAATCAGCCTAAATAATAAACTCGTTCATTCATTCATTATGCGTCTTATTCGTAATCAAATTGATCATTTCTTTGCCAAGTTTATTATTTTCTTCAAATCTATTATGTCATTGTTTTTATAGAATGTTAGTATATATTTAATTATAGTATACCGTAAACTAATAATAATATTTATTATAATATACCTTGACTCAAAAAATTGGGCAGTCGATTCGAATCTCACTTTATACGCGGTCATATTTCCAATACCTACGCACTCGGCCCATCCTTTTGACGCGCTATAGAACTCCATATCATCAGCGCGAATGTCTTTATTGTATAATGCTGATCGAATTGATTCTTCTAGCATTTCGGTGTTTCGAAATAGATATTCGGTTATTCCACTGATGTTGTATATATGGGATGTTTGTCGATAATGATTAAGAGGAAGAATAAAACAATAATTGAAGAAGTAAATAATATACATACGTCCAAAGTCTAAATAAAGGTGTTTGACACACCAAGTGTTCGTAAGGATTGATTCCCAGAGTGTACCAACAATCCGTCTATAAATAATGAGTCGAGATTATTATCGATTTTGAGCATGATTTGTATTTACTATTTACCATTGCTAATAACGACAGATGAGAATTAGGTTTTCGTTTCTCTTTCGGTACAATCGACAATGAATATTTGTCAAGATACAAATCCGATAGAAGAATTGGTTCACGATCTCCAATCACTTTTCGGAAAATAAAATCTCCAGCCTAAATAATAAACAGAATTAATCATGTCATTTTGATTTGGCATTTTGTGATGGATACGTTTGAGTATTGCATATTTTACCTTTTTAACACGCTTTGAAAATTCTTCTTCCTTTTCTTGAATCATCAATTTAAATAGATCGGACACAGATTGCGCGTATTGATGAACTTGAACTTTGGCGCTTGGATTCATTATGGCAAGTCCTATATATATAGTTTCATTAAATATTCACACACGAAAAATCATAAACACACATATTTTACTAAAATACAATACCTGCGTAAACATGCCATTTGTTGGAGTAAATTCTCAATGCCATATTCACCTTGACATTCTCGATTCCACCCACGTATTGTGGAGTCTCCCACTACAAGAATATATACAAATAAAAAAAGCTTTTATTTAATTCACTTTCTTTTAATCGATACTATAAGAAAATTAATTACCGGAAATTGCTGTTGAGTCTTCCATGCAGTTCCCATACTTTATTTTAAGAAAATCATAAACAATATTTTATTAATAATCATAAAAGTCGGAATATTATGTGATTGATTTATATGTAAACCTTAGGAAAGCAACGTGAGTAACAGCCTGCGTATCAGCAGTAATACGATCATGTTCTTTATATGACAATTCGACCATGCGCGATCCTAAACACGACAAGACACGTTTCACAATTTCGAATTTTTCTTTTGATGCCCGATGCTGGATCAGTACCTTTTAAAAATAAATTTATTGGCATTTTAACGATTATTGTAAGTATATTACCAAAAGGTTATAAATAAAAAACGTACATAAAATAACAAAAAAAAAAACATACCAAAGGTTGATCTTTCGAGTCAACAGTTGGTCCATGAAGAGAATGAAATGACACAATATGCACATCATCCGGTAAATGTTTCTCGAATGCCAGAATTTCCGGTTCTTTTACGGATGTCTAAACTTTCATATGATATCATCGGGTGGTCATCATCAAAAAATCTATTATTATTATTTGTTTAATTCGTAATTCCCTCAAATATCGTATGTTTTTAAACGGCAACAGCAGCAACGACAATAATAGTTTTTATGATTACCTGACCACCGACAACTGCACCAATTTTTGTTGCTTTTTGATAGAAAAAATTAATTAATAATTTGAAGGAAGGAAGGAAGGAAGGGGCCTCTCTCGTAAGTAAAATGACCTTCTATAATATGAAAATGTGAATTTGACTTACACGGGCCATACATTCCTACGACTTTATCGACATTTTCTGCTTCCACCGAATAAATGATGAAATCACTTCTTCGTGATACTGCATGTCCATCCAACAATACATTCATACCACTATCTGTATATTATTTAGATTTATCCGAAGACAACAAAATCATAATTAAGATTAATATTTTTTATTGATTTATTTTTTTATTAGCATAAATTCAACTCGCCTTTCAATTGTTCCTTGAGTTGCGGAAATCGGGATGGAATATCACACACATTCACTCTAAATAGTAAAGATTTCAAATTTCGATATATATACTTATCTCTCAAATACGTCTTGCACCCTCTCGAGTTCTTTCGTTTCTTTTAACACACCTCTTCCAACCGGCTTTTACTATCTGTCTCGCATACATCAAACCCATATCACCCAACCCTATCAAGCCAACTTCCAGAATCTCTTTTTCCATTTTTCAATTTAAAGACCAAAGATCAACATCATCTTATCTGGTCACAAATATATATATATACGATAATTTTAACCAGTATTAGGATTATGCACATCTCTTTGGCCTGAATTAAGAGCATTCAATACATATTGCACGTTTAATTTATTTTTTTATCGAATCTTACAAATGGATCCACCTACTCTTCCACAAGAAGAAGTTATTCCATTGATTGTGAGGTAATGCTGAGCTTGACCTTTACTTTTAACAATCTAATTCATTTTTACAATGTTGATTTTGGGATAGCGCAATTTACTCGTTGTGAAATAAATAGTGAAATAAAGAACTTGTATAGTCTTAAAAGCCTAAAATAAAGAAATTATTTTTTTTTCAAATGATCAATCCTAAATAAAAATTAACTGATCTATTGATTTCTCTATTATTTATCTATCTGTGTGAATAATTATGCTTTATTCCTTTTAATTTCTTTCTTCTTTTTATGTTTGGATCCTTTCACGATTTACGATACTTTCGTCAAATCTAACACGTCAAAAATCCCAATCCAAATTACGCATATATTTATAAAATAATATCGCCAAAAGCCAGCTCTGTCACTATGGATACACCTCGCTTGCACAAGTAGTCGCAGCTCAAACAGATAGCCCGATTGATCTGACACCGAGTTCGCGATTATCGGAGTTACTGTACATTGCTAAAGAACAAGGTCCATTATTTATTACTTCAACGGAAAGAAAACAAATCTAACATGTCTTCCACATTCATTAAATGAGTTTATTTCGACAATTCGTTTCGATTTATTATGAACTTTGATTTAATTTTATTTTCCTGATTAAAAAATCAAAAAAAAATTATAGAGGAAGAAGAGATGCACCCGTCATTAATAATGCCCGATGACGACGATGACGATATTGGAGACGAATCATCACCAGTCGAAGAGAGTCATTATACTAATACGGGTGTTTCTAAATGTCTTATGAGTATGGATCCGGATGATATCCCAGGTATTACTAACTAAATCATTAAACTTATCATTTTCATATTCTAGGAATATCTTTATAATAACTGACTATTTTGTTCTAGAAACTAAGTCACCGCCCAATTATAATACATGGTACATAACTACTCATCGAGCTGCTTCTACATGTGCAATTTTTAGTGGTGATGGTATGATGAGTTTTGTTTAAAGAAAAAAGAGAGAAAAAGTAAATTATAAGGCATCAAATGGGTGAATGAGATCTAATTAATTATCGATGCATATCTTATTATTTTTTAATATATTCATTTGTTTCATATCAAAAAAAAATCAGGAAAATATGCAGCGACTGGTTCTGCTGATGCGTCTCTCAAGGTTCTTGATACAAGTAAAATGAATAGTCGATCCGATGAAGATAGACCTGTTATACGCACATTATACGATCACTTGGCAGTAAGTTCATTTACAAAAAATATATAAATAGCATGTGTGTCTAGTTTAAAGTTTTTTTTTAATAATTTTATTTGTTTAGGCTGTAAATGATTTATCTTTTCACCCTAATGGACTGGTTCTCGCATCATGCTCAGAAGATCAAAGTATAAAGTTATTTGATCTTTCGAAACCGGGCGTTAAGCGATCGTTTCGATACTTACAAGTATGATTAGCTACATGTGAATTCCCATTTGTTTTTTTTTATATTTGCTATTTGTGCTGCATTTAGATTTTTTTTGTTAGGATACACATGTAGTACGATCGATAGCATTTCATCCATCGGGTGATTTTATACTAGCAGGTTAGATTTCAATCAAACTTCCAAAATTGTAGACTCGAGATAATAAACCCAGTTTCTATATAATTATTTAGGTACTGATCATGAATCCGTGAGAATATACGATGTTAAAAAATTCCAATGCTACACAGCATCCAGCAATCAATCTGATCTTCATCAAGGCGGAATAACAAAGGTAACTATAAAAACTACAAATTTATTTATTAAACCATCAATTCTAGATATTAATAATTGTATTTATATGTTAATTAAAAAAAAGGTTCGATTTGTGCATAATGGCGGACAATTTGTCACGTCTTCATTAGACGGCAGTATTAAAATCTGGGATGTTGTAAGCGGGAGATGTCAGCGCACAATCGAAAAAGCTCATGATAGTGCTACTGTATCAAGCGTGCAGTTTTCGCGTAATGGAAGGTTTGTGTTGTCTGGTGGGAAGGATTCTGTGTTACGACTATGGGACACGGGAAGCGGTAAATGCGTGATGGAATACAAGGGAGCGGTGCAACAAGTAAATTAATTATACCTCTGCGTGTGTGTGTGTATGTGCGTGTATTTTTATTTTTTTTGAACATCTTTTAGAATCACGCATTACAATCAACTTTTACAAATAATGAAGATTACGTTCTGAGTAGCGACGAAACCACAAACAATGTCGTCTGTTGGGACACTCGAACAGGCGAACTAATAAAGCAATGGTCTGGTAAGTAAAAGAATTTATTTTTCTATCAATATATATTATTTGAGAATAATAACGGCCGAGATGAATAATGAATAAAGGACATGCTGGGATCGTTCGATGCGTTGCAGCATCACCGACTGAACCTGGATTTATCAGTTGCAGGTAAACGAATAATATTAAAAAAAAACTGATTGTTTGCCTGCTTAGATGCAGGCCTCATATTGAAACTATATATGTAACTCTAATTTATTATTGTTCTTAGTGATGATTACCGTGTGAGGTAATGTATATGTATATGTAGATATATAATGTCCCCGATTCCTGCCCGATATATTTTATCTATCATTTATATGTTTCTATGTATATACACTTTTATACACGCGTACAGGTATTGGAATCTCGATTAAATCGGTATTGAGTCTAAATAAGTATGTAGCTGTAGTCATATATATAAAGTATATGTGTGGGGGTAGACATCCATATCCAAAAAAGATAAGCGGGAAAATTTTTATGTCAGCATAATACATAATTAGGAATATGTCATGTGTATGTTTTAAGTGTTGATGTTACATAAAGGGCTATGTTATACAATAGTATTATAAATAATAATCTAAGTTATCTTAGTCTGCATGAACAAGTGGCAATATATTTAAAAGCATATAATATAAATATATTACTTTCCCGATGATAAATAAGATTTAATCCATACGTAAACAAATATCGTACACACCACGTGTCATATTGTTAATAAGTAATATTACGATGATTGATTGTTTTCAAATGTTGATTGAAATGTATTTCCTCTTCCTCCACTATTCCCGGTTCTTCCTTGCATCATCATCGACGTCGCTGGAGGTATTCTGGTAACTCCCGGGATAGAGGGATATATCGGTTCAGGTGGATTACCAATGGGTAGACTCCACCCTATTTGTTGTTGTGGCTGTTGTTGAATCGTGGAATTCCAATTTAGTGATTGTTGATGATGTTGTTGTTGTGCCATTGGATTCCAACTTGATTGGTGAGTTTGCATTCTTGCATTCCAATTTTGTTGTGCCGCTTGTAATTGATGTGATTGTTCTGCTAATGCTTTCAGATTTTTTTGTTGCAATTCATGCAATTGCTGAATTTGCGCAGAAACATTTATAGTCATTGATGATCCTTGTGTTTGAACATGTGTGTGAACCGCATCGCTAGCCTGTCGTTGCTCTTGTTGTATTTGATGGAATTGTGTTAATGTATTCCAGTTCTGTTTTGATGCTTGTTGCAATTGTGTCGAGGTATTCCATTCTTGCGCCACTTGCTGTAATTGTTGTTGAGCACGTGAAAGCACAGCTGCTATTGCTGCTTCATTCCTTTCTGGATTTGAAGTGAGACGAGTTTCTGGTTGTTGATTATTTTTGCTAACTGTTGTGCTGTTGATGTGTAGATTATTGTTATTGTGATGTATATTTTGTTGAGTTTGTCCTTCATCGCTGTTCGGTTTTTCAGCTTGCAACGTTTGTATTATTGCACGATTTTTAGATACAATATTATTGAGAAGCTGCGATTTTGGGAAAATTGAATATTAAAGCATACCGAGAAAATCGAAAAGAAAGAAGAGCAAATATCTATCAAAGAACAAATGAGCAGTATGCTTAATGGAGTACTAACCCTTACTTTTTGTACATCTGGATCGTCATCTTTCTCAGTCACCAGTCTCCGTCGCTCTTTAGCTGCTGCTTCTCGTAATCGCAAATTCACACCTAACTGACTTTCCTCTATTTTATTTTTATGATAACGATAATATCCATCTTGATCTTCTTGTATCGTCGGTTCCTGATCATCTCTCGACCCCGATTGTATTTCACTGTCTTCGTCATCTTCATGCTCTTCCCCTTCCGCGTCAATATTAATGTACGGACAGAGAGTAGAAGAATCACTAGATGGGGAGTCAAGATCCATGTCTTGGACTTCATCTTCGGCTGAAGATGATTCTCGTCGATTTCGTGAAAGTGCCAGAATTGTATTATTCTTTAGAGCATAAATTGGATCGTAGGACATTTCTGAGAGGGATTGCGACGACGAGGATGATCCATAGCCCGACGATCCGCCACTTTCTGATGACCCTAATGCTGATAGATTTGTGTATGATGTTCTGCATGATTCCACCGCTAATGGAGGAGGTATTATCTGATGTGTAAGTGAAGGTGGAAGATGTATTAGTTCAGTGGAGACGATAGAATGCGAATGACGCCGTTGATGTCGCTTTAAATCTTTATTATTTCGTCTAATGGCACGTGGTGGTTTATTAGATGGATTATCAACATGACTGATATTCAAGTCTTTTATCAATTCCAATGGGCTAGTAGAAGATTTATGACGGCGAGGAGACTTATTATTACTAAATGACCAAGGATGAGATGTTTTCACAACGACAGTAAAATTATCCTCTGGTACAACTCCTGAAGTGCCAGAAGTAGCTAACATTTGAGTGGTTGGGATTTTAGAATATCCACTGGAAGGTGAGTGAGTAGAAGAAACTCGACCACTCCCACCACTTGAACTGCCTTCATCTCCCGTATTTTCTGTAAATGATGAACCACCTAGAGTATTTTCCGGTTTATCTTTTTTTCTGTTGTTGTTTGCTGTGCCTTTTGGGTGATGATGATGTTTCGGTGAAGAAATAGTTTCCACCATTTTTTCTTATTATTAATATTATTGCTAATACTATTTTTTAATATTATTGTCAAAGAAATCTTTTATAACATTACCATTTACACTGTCACTCTCAATGACCGTCAATTGTATTTTCGAGTCTTCAGATAATAACATTGGATGTGCAGAATCTTCATCGTCCGCCTCTTGTCCACTACTGGTCTCCTCTTCTGTTTGATAATTAGCCAAAATCTGTGGATTAGAACCCAAAACAATATTGGTTCCTCGCTCATATCGTAACACCGGCCGTTTTTCTCTCGTGTTAGAGGACTCCTTACGTGACCCATTAGCCGTAGAATTTTCCATTCCCGAAGAATCCGAAGGTGTTGCTCGAAATCCACTTGGAGACGTGGATGCCGATTCATCACCAAAATCTACGGCGACACGACTCAAGTCAGTACAAAATACACCACCTTCATAATAAATTATGGGACCTTCTTGTGGTTGCTCGACCCCACTACTGTTATTTTCGTCGGAGGATGAGGATGACGAGGAGGAGATGCTCCGGTGGGGGAACATTGGACGATAATGAGAGATCGAAGATGACTTTAAAGAACCGACGGTGGTGTGTGATCCATTTGATGGTGATTTTCCCGCGATAACATTTGAATTAGTTGTATTACGTGATGAAGAGGTAGCATTGGAAGAACTTTCAGAAGGCGAATGAAATCGAGTGGCTGCTATAACATTCTGAACAGTTTCACTACCTCCAGACACATTTTCACTGCTACCACCACTCCCACCACCATTCCCACTACCACTTCCATTACAGCTGACTCGCAATCTTCTGGCTCGATTACTCGGATCAATTTCACTTCGCCACCGGACTTTTGTTCCATCATCACTCAACTCCAAACAATTTGAAAATGTTCGTATCGATTGTTTGACAAGTGGTAATGTTACATTCATTGTATGTAATTGTGCCATATTTGTTAGTAAATTAAGATATACATAGCCATCCGGATCTGCCTTTTCTTGATCTTTTAGATAGTGATCATCGTACGAGGGTTTCGTGGTGAACACTTTTTCGATCGCTTGTACGACTTGTTTCATTTTGGCTTTATTGCTTCCTTTTACTTGTACATTATCTATCACCCTTGGAGGACCAGATGATGTTCGCGAAGTGCTGTTGGCACTCGATGAGGTTACTCCGCTCGATGGCGGCGTTGGAAGTTGGGCTGCAAAATCTTTAAGATAATCTTCTAATTCGTGACGTTTATTTCTATTATATACAACATAATTACTACTAGTTGCAATTATTTACGCGACGTCTTTTATCACGTGATTCACTTACCGAGGCATCTGAAAGTACCGGACTTCGAATAATTTTTCCTTGTGCAAAGATTTCTTATGAAGTCTTTCCATTTTTCGTAGTTTGTGTCGTAATCTTTGATCTTTTATATAGCATATGTTAGTTGTTTACTTTTAGAAGAGCGCAGAAATTCATAAAACACTTACTTTTTAAGGTTAGATCGTCAATCACAGATCGATACGAATCACTAGGAGCCGACACGGTATTTGGTGCTTGATGCGCACCATGTCTCGCTGAGCCAACATTGTCACGTCCAAATGTAGCACGATGTGGATGATGATTAGTTTGTGCGTGTGAATGATGCTTTGAGGTGATTGATTGTGATGGAGGATGAGATTTTTGAAAGGGATCAACAGAGTAGGGAGTTTCACTGTCTGAAAATGCATACAGTTGGTTAATATTCAAATGGATGGATATACAATATGTGTGAATGAAATATACTTAGTCCCACAGTTTATATGTGTTACATAACTTTTGTAGAATCGAAAAAAAACTAATTTGATTGTAGACCATACTATGGTTTACAATTAAATGTTTAGTTTATTCGATTCTACAAAAGTTATGTAACACATATAAACTGTGGGACTAAGTGACTCGCATTTGTATTTCCCTATGCATCTTATCTAACCTGATCTGATCTGGTAAAATTTCAATCGATCGATCTAACCTAAATTATTTACCGATTCGTTACTTACCATCTTCGTCAAATGATTGATTTAATTCTTTGACGTTAGAGTTAAATTCTTGAAACCAAGCGTCTGTTGTAGACGATGACGAAATTTTACTTTTCTTTGAATCGCTACTACTTGCGTCGCTCGTGTCGTTACTAGACTCGTCCATTTCCCTTGCATTTTCGTTACTAGAACTTGACGACTCTCTTAACCTCCTATTCTCGTCCGAAGCCGCCGACATATTCGTGTCGTAGTTATCCCCGACCACGACCACTACTTCTTTCTCTTTTCCTTTGCCTGACTGTTGGATAAAATTCTTTTCTGTATCTTGAACTAAGCCTGACTTTACTTGACTATTAATATTAAAACCGTCGCCAATACTATCCTGGTTACTTGTAGTTGCCATAGATGACATAAGAAGGTATACAAGTGGGTAAAGTTGCCGCTATAAATAAAAATAGTTGAAAGAGGAATATAAATTTTATAGTTTGCACTTTTTATATCGATACTGCTATTACTACTACCACTATATAATAATATAATAATAAATAGTGATAGTAATAGTAATAATAATAATAATTTTAAATAATAATAATAATATAAGTAGAGGAAGGAGAAAAGGATAATAAAAAAGTCTACACGTGTTTCGCGATTCCGACTACTTACAAGAAAAATATTTAAAGGAAGAAAAATATAAAAGGCAAAAAATAAAGAGAAAACTAAAGTCGTTAAAAAGTTCCTATATGCATTCAGACTTGTACAGAACAGACAACACAGCAAGCAAACCCAATATCGCAAAATTAAAAAGGCTTTACGAACACAATAGGTAAAGTGAATTGGTGGGTGAATTTTTCTTCGAGCAAGACATTGAAGGTGTGATTGCGTATTTTGGAGATACGGGAAAAACAAAGTTTACGATATTTTGAATAGAAGTATAATCAACAATTTTGGTGGGGAATTTAACAACGATTTTATAGTAATCATGTCTTGAAAGTTTAGGCATACGCACAGACTGGGAAAAAACAATAACTGAAAAAGTGAATATGGTGTGTTGATGTTGAACAAAAAAAGAAATGCCGATTTTATTTAGTTTGCTGATCCAGACAACTTTTACCGATTCTACTCTAATTTCCAAGGTGGCTATATGTCTATGTTCAGTAGATTCTAGTAGATTCTACGTTTGAATGAGTATAAAAGGTAAATGTGTTGCTTGTTTTGTCAACTTAGTTGAAAAAAAAATATTTGAAATCTGGGATACTATAAGAAAATTTGATGTTGGTTTTGAATCATTATTTATAATCCCAATGATATTCTTTTAAATTAATGCTAAACCATATTAACAACATCGGGAATATTTCTATCACGCAGAAAGCAAGATGGCACCATTGATCCACGAAACTTTGGGCATGTTGGTCCCTATCCGTTTCAGGTTGATTTTCATGTCTATCAAATTACGTATTTCTGATTACTTCAGCATCGACCACATGCGAGTTATTGCGACATCATCGATTAAACTTTATTTTTCGATCTTCTCTATATTTCAGACGAATTAGGAAACTTAACTTGTCATATCAATATGGAATTTACCCTAGTAATAATTAAATAGTTAGTTTTAGAAGTATCTAGAACAATTCTTTTGACGTTAGTAAGTACCCTGGCCATAGCGAAAAAATGGGCATATTACGTGCTGGTGGTGGCACAATCCAATAAAAATGCGTAAATTTACGGGAAACAGATGCCTAAATCTAAGCTTGGTACACTAAAAAAACGTCGGGAAGGCAATTCTATAATTTTCCGGAGATATATGGTTGAGATTTACGTATTTAAATGGAAATTTTGGCCAGATTTGAAAGTGTTGAGTGTAAAAATTAGACTGCATTACTAATATATATCATATTTAAGGTTATTGGACAGTAACAGTTGGTATTTTTTATTTTATAAAATGAAGATTAGAGAAAATAATAGAATAAAATAATCGATATATTGGCTTTTTATATAGAAAAATGAAGTGATGAAGTTTTAATAATCATTTTCATTATATTTTGTAAACAAAAATTTCTCTTGATCAAATAAAAATATCGTCAAAATTATCAATTTTGATTTAAAATAAATCTAATAAGATTGTTGTGAATCTTGTTACCATTTCTAGTAGTGTTGGTCGATTTTACAATGCATAAGTCATTTTTCATATCAAAATCATAATCCAATATTGATTTCCAGAGCAATTGCTTATAATAATATTTCTGAAACATGATAAGTGATTGTGTTTATATGAAAGATCAAACTACTAAATTATCAAAACTATATTTAAACATCAAATAATAAAAATGAATGAGTTAAACATAACTTTGACAAGAAATCAACAAAATAAAATAAATAATTATCAAGACTTTTTCACAATATTGATAATGATAACTATATGAAAATGAATATGATAACTATCAAAACTTTTCTAAAATATTAGTAAGTATAATATAATTATATTATACTCACTTAACTTAGGTTATTTCCACTTCAAAATAATGTGAGTTTTGTTTTTTATATCATACTCAAACTATTATATAGCAGTTTAACAATCTAATTAATTAATTTTCATCATTATCTCATATATAATATGATATATATTGAATTAGTGATCCTGACTGATTTAAAATATAAAATGCTCTCTGATTTAGATTATGACACTCAGTAGGTAATTAGTCTATATGATAATTTAAAGCTTTTGGATTTTTAAATTCATTATCAAAATTATGTATCTAAATAATTATTAAATTTAATTTTTGTTATAAGATACTTCCTACTATAAATTATGATGAATAATATGAATCTCTAGATTATTTTTTATTAGCTATATGTCATGATAATAGAAATATAATATCTCATATATGAAATATCATATAGCTGAATAGTTATTGCAGTGTTAATATTTTGATCATTAATCAGCAATCAAAATTTTTAAGTATAATAATTTAATTATTATATTTAGAAATTTTGGTTATTAATCAATAATTAAAATGCCAATTCTGAATTATTATAATTAATTTCTATTATGTAATGCTTTCTGATATAGATTATGTAATCAGGTTTGTTTTATTGTAAGTTTAACAAGTCAATTGTGATTTATACTATTACTATTTCTATTAATTTTATTATTTTTTAGATATAGATCATATATTCTTTACATGTTCAATTAGTTAGGAGAGTTATTAAAAATTTTTATGTATTTTAAGTAATTAAAATTGGGAGAAATTAATTTAATAAAGATAGATAATAATATAATGAGTTCAGAAATTTTTTTTAATTTAAATAATTTGATTATTAAGTAATTTTCTTTTATTAATTAACTTTTAATAAGAATATTTTCTTCTTTTATTAATTTCTAGATAATATTAACTAACTTCACAATATAATGACAAGATAACAAATAAAAAATATTGTTACAAATAAGAGATTTTTTAAAATAAAAGAATACAAATAAAAAAGAAAAAAGTAATTAATCATCAGAAAATTTTTTAGTGTAATTTGTATCGATATTTATCGTTAGTTATATATCGATATATATCTGAGTCATCGATGCATATCGAAACAGATATTTGATATATATTGATATATATCGGAGTCATCGATGTATATTGTTTAACGATGTAGATCGTTAAATATCATTGTTTAATGATGTAGATCGTTAAATATCATTGTTTAACGATATACATCATTAAATATCATTGTTTAACGATATACATCATTAAATTGACTTATTTCATTAAATATCGATATATGTGTAAATATCGTTATTTAATGATTTTTATTATTAAATTCAGAATATTCTTTATTATTAAAACGAAAATCTATTTAATAAATATATTACTTTATTATTAATTACATGTAAATACAATTCTAATAATTCCCAGCTAATTGATCAATATTTTCGTTCTCACTACTAACTATAGTCTCTGTAAATAAGTCATTTACTGCGTGAAAATTATATGCTTCTTGTTGGATAGCGTTGTCGTTTATATTATCATCACCTTTATCGTCTTCGAGTTTTTTTGATATATTTCCTAAAAGAAAATTAATATTAGTCACAAAAGATTATATATAGTATAGAGCAAAAGCTTGCTTTATATTTCTCTATGCGACATTATAATGAAGTTTTGCTTATCTCAATTGATGGATGATTTGAATTTAGAACTATATTGCATACACTCATGATATATGCACATAAATCGATAGATAACGGTTTTTCACGAAGTGTTGAAAAGGTGATACGAGCGATATGGTTAATATTATTGGTGCCATCATTTCCAAGTTGAAATAACTTATTATAACATTCAGCCACTTCTAACAATACTTTCCATTCAGAAATTTCTTTGGAATTTTTTTGGTTGTTAATAGGAGGTAAGATATTCATTCCAAAGACACGAAAAATTGCTTTCTTAATTGCCACCACATTGAAATCACGTATGTCTTTCATCCTTCTTATAATCTAATTAAGATATAAAAACTATCAATAAAATTATAATTATTAATAATTACCACTGAGTGATGTTGTTCAGAAAAAGCATTGATCCATTCGTATTTTCTGATTTCTTGCAAATAGTCAGGATGATTGCGGTTGAGCCAGGATTCAAGTCCCTTCTTATAATCGTTGAATCGTGGTTACAGTTTAGATGGAAAAAAACTCAAACAGACATTGCTATAACCATCCTATAATTGTTCAAATTATGAATTCAACGATATTCAATGATATATATAAGAGAATTAAAAGAATATATACTTATACAGCCCACACTTTTTCACTTAAATCTATTTTTTTGTCTTGTTCCTTTCTCATTTGTATTTCGATTCTTTCCAATTTGTCAAACATTACCTTCTGAAGCTCATAAATTACTTTGAGTTGTCAACTCTGTTTCAATATAACTTCATTACGACATTTTTCACGTTGAGTATGCTCATCAGTATCATATGGTTTAAATGATGTTCTTAGTAAACCAGTGAGAGTGGGTGATTTTGATGAACTAGAAGCAGTGGCAATCTGTGTGCGACCTATAAAGTTAAAAATTAATATTAACAATATCTATTAAACAATATTTAACGATATTAATCAAAGATTACCAGAAATTAGTTTTGGTGTAGTTGACATTAGATTGAATATATCTTCAGATTGAGAATATGCTATTTTAGTGAAAGAACTATTATTTGAAAAATTAGTTTGTTGTTGTGCTTGTTCTTTAGACATTATTTTAATAAGATTTGAATAAAAAGTTTAAATAAGAAAGACAAATTTCATGACAAGTTATTTAAATAAGAATTCTTACCCGTTGATTAATAATAGTCTCCCTTTTGGGAAATGCGTAACACGTCAATAATTAGAATAACACGTTAATAATTAGAAAAACATATCATATAAAAATAAAT